GCAGGATGGGCTCGTCGCCGTACCCCTCCTGCAGGAAGAGAACCACCGCGAGGGCGGGCTGCGCCGCCTTCGCCTTCGGGGCCTTCCTCCGCCGCCGGGAAGCCCTCCTTTCGGAGACGCGGAACAGCTGCAGGTCCGGGTGGATCCAAGCCAAGACCCGGTCGATGGCCTCCTGCAGGGGCTGGGATTCCCCTGGGTCTGCGATTATGTGGATGCTAACCAGGAAAGGATCCTGTGGCTCCTCCACGGAGAGCTCACCTGGGAGCACAAAAAGAAAAACAAAAGAAATCCCCAAATTGTGACTATTTCCTGGTGTCCTGCGATGATGACATGCAAAGCTTTGGCAGGAAGAGACGCTACATTCTAACTGAACCGACTCCACAATTGTTATGATTTTCTGATCCCAGGTTCATGTGCAAAAACCACTGTTGCAATACCCTAGCTGCCAAAAGCTGAAGAACTTCTCGCAGTGAATGGCTCCCCAGCTGGGCAGTGTTAGGAGAACTTCGGTGCTGTCCTTCCTCAGGTTGCATGTACTTTCTATTGGGCAGTAGAAAGTCAAGTCCCCATTGACCTGGAAGGGATAACAGGCCCAATAGCCTTAAGTGTATACCACTTAGTATTTCCTGAAGTGATGGCAGTGCCTTACCCCACAGATGTTCCTTATACCGCTGTACTCCCTTCGTTTGCTTATTTCATTGGTTTATTTTGTTCGCTCATTTAACAAACATTTATGGAATCCTTTCTTCATGCCCTATGCTAGGTGCTGTGCTAAGCACTTACTCTAACTGAGGCTTCCTGCCAACAGCGTCCTGATGGTGGGGGTGGCCTGGTCATGATCCCTTTGCTGCTGGAAACCCAGGGAAGAGCAATCCAGGGACAAGCACAAAGTCCTTCTGTCGGAGCTTACTGGGGCTGTGGTTAGGGGTGGGGGACTCGAGGTAGGACCATTACTGCCTGTGTAATGCTTTCTTTTGGGCCTCTCCTCAGGCCCTGTCCACCCAGAAGCCCATACATCCTAACTGGGTCAGTTACCCTCAAACATTGGGAAATTTCAAATTCTAAGTGAGACGTTGACTGTTTAACGTGGCAACACTTTCCCGCAGGGTGAACAGTTTGCTGGCCACACTGGCATAATTATAACTCACAAATATTCAGCATATTTTATCAAATTACCTGATAAAAGTCTTGTTCTTTTAAAATATGGGCTCTATTTGCATTTATATAAGCTTTATGACTCATCCCAGGACAATCAAGAAATCTTTTTTAAAAGAAATCTTTAGGTCTATTGTGACTTGGGGGGTTAGAGTCATGTAGAACCAGACCATTTTCACACACATGTCTCACAATGTCCCCTAGGGTGTTATGCATAGGGCATTTATGCAGTCAATAGCATTTAAGAAGTGTCAATAGCATTTAAGGAACCACAATCTTGATTAGTTCACAAGATGAAAGGTAATTTTTTGTTGTTGTAGGTAAACAAGACATTCCAAGTTAGCTTACAGATCATATGCACCTGTAACAACATGGTTTTAATTTTGTTGGATCAAAAGCTGTCTGAATTTTAATCCCAACTTTGACTATTAGATATCTCACTTGGGAATAGGTAGTTCAATTGTTGTTACCTTCTTTCTCATTTACTCATTCATTCACACATTTCTTGAGCAATTTATATGTACTAGGCACTGGGGAGATAAGAAAGCTGGTGCCACTGAGTACTATGGAAGTCCACTTACATAGACTCTGGTGTGAACAGTGAACCCTTAGAATTGTGCAGTGCATGGTCTGCACAAGCACAGGCAGTAGTCCTCTAAAAAAACATGATTTAGATGGGAAGCACAGATGTAAAATATTAAAATCAATTTGATAGGTGCCTATCTTAGGCAGGAGTTGTATTCTAAAGTCACCATGAAATAAAAATTATGCATAGACAATATTACCACTGAAAGCTCTTGGCTTTCCAATACAGTACTGACTTGCAATAACAAGGCCAGAGAGATGTTCCTTTGATTAAAAACTAGGTGAGGTAACAGCTTGCTTCATGGCTGTGTTATAAAAGAATAGTCTTGTATCATTAAACACTAGACACCCCATCCCCACTCCCCCTTCTTGCATAGGCTGTGCCTTTCACTCTACAAAAAGAATCTGAGAACTCAAGAGGCTTCTGGAACCAAAGATAACTAAGGTTAACAGCAGAGTCAAGTCTTAGTACTCCCATGATCATGGAGTAGAATGGTAGATGGAATTACCTGAACTTCCTGCCCTCCCCCCTCTGGCTGAGCATGTATCCTCACACATGCGTGAGTTAAATATGAGCACAATGCAATTCCAATTTACTATCACGTGACAAAGGAAGGGGCAACTGTTTCTCCAGAGGGCTTCTGAGGCACCATGCGAGTGGATCTTAAAAGGTAAACATCTCACTTATGATAACCTCCAATGTGGGGGAGATAGCTGTGGGAAGAGGAAAGACTATTTATGAAGGCACAGAACTCTACAAAAAACAAGCATGCTTTGAAAAGGGTGGTAATTCTGAAACATAGCAATAGATGAAACAGGAATAAAATAGATTGGAGCCAAGTTGTACAGGGCTTCAGCTCAATTTGGTAGTGATAAGTGGCAATGGAAAAGCTTTAATAAAGGGATGTTGGGATTAAGTCAGGATGAGGTAAATTACAGGCAAAGTAAGAAAAAAGAAGACAAGTGAAGAATCTAGACAAGAGATAACAAGGACTTGGCAGTGCATTACTGGCCCTAGTTCTTTATCCTGCCCTCTTTGCTCTCTGCCATGTGACTTTGTAGTTCCTCCCACTAAGAGGGTGAAGTGTGATTCTTTACTCTTTGATTTTGGATTAGACCATATACCTAGGTTGGCCAACAGAAAGAGTCAAGAGTGACATGTTTTGGCTTGCCTTCTTGTGCTTCTGACATTTCCATGAGAAAAACATACTCAAGCCAGCCCACTGATGCCAGAAAGGAGGATAAGAGATATGAGGAGCAAAGGCACCCCAGCTGAGCCCACCTACATCAGCCAACCTCAGACATCCAAAGACACCCAAAGACACACAGTATGAGCCACCCAGCTAAGCTTGGTCTATATGAGCTGACCCAAAACACATGGAAAATAATAAATGACTGCTGTTTTGAGCCATTGTCTGTGGGTGATTGTAACACAGCAATATTATAAATGCAGGCAGAGTCACTGGGTGTATGGAAGGGCATGGATTCAGAAGCTATTTAGGAGCACATATGCATGGGGATGGGGAGCAGGAAAAGCAGAAGTGTATATACCTTGATACTTCCAGCTTGAGCAAGTGGTCTGATGTTGATGTTTAATTGAGCTAAGAAATATTTAGAAGAAGGGTAGGTTTGTGGGGAAAGATAAGAAGTTCCACTTTGCCCATGTTGGCTTGAGATGTCTGAATGACTTCTAGGAGAAATGTCTTGTTGGTAACTGGACCTGTGTTTTGCTGAATTTAAAGATGGGCCAGTTACCTTTAGGATATATTCCTATTTTTATGCAGTTATCTCATAAGTGTGTGCCCCATATTCATTTGTATAAGGAAAAATTCATCATGATGGCTTAAAAAACAATCCAAATTCATGAATTATTATGGTTCTTTTCTTTGCTTGCTCTTTCTGCTCACCTGGCTACTTTCTGTTTCATTGAACATTATTAGCATCACTATCAGCAGAACTGCAGTAGAAACAAAAGTAGTGAAATGCAAACCACTGAAATTTTCCATCAGGCAGTAACTCCAGTAATCATCTAAAATGCACATTTCACTTTTCCATGGTGCCTTGATCTCCCAACAGTGTAGACACTGACTATGCCAAACATTACTGAATGCTCAATATAGATGGAAAGGGGCAGAAAGGCCTAGAACAATTTGAGGATGAAATTCATTTGAGAAAATTACAGATGATTTCTGTGAGGGGAAAAAAGGAGACATGTTGCAGAAAGAATGTTTAGGAAAAGAGGCTGTCAGAGCAGTCAGGCAGTCCTGTTAAGATCCTGCCCCACACTCAGGGTGTGCATGTGGCCATGTACCTGCGGTGACACTGTTAGCCAACACTTGTATGACATTCACTGTGGGTGGGCTGGCACGTTTTTAGTGTTCTACATGTATGAACTCATTTAATCTTCACAATAACACTAAAGGGGGGGCGGTGAATCAATTATTCTCCCCATTTTAGAGAGCAGGAAGTTGAGGCTCAAAGATGTACAGTAACCTTTCCTGGTCGCCCAGCCTCTGACTTTTTGGGCACAGTCACCCCACAGCTCTGCAGAGAGGTGTGCTCACGCTCTCTGCGGTACTCATTTCACGGCAGAACGAGCCACTGTCACTCTCCCGCCATCTCTGGCCACATTGCTACTACTTCACCTCTCTCTACTGCTCTCCTACTTCCTTCTAACCGGTTGGCTTCTCGGCTGCCAGCCAATAACTTCATGCCTTGGACAGCCATTTACATCTCTTTCTTCTGGTCCTGGGTTTCTGAGAAAGATTATCCAGAAACCACCTCCCCAATGGCACATGCCCAAGTGTTTAGATCTGAACACTGCCCTTGAGGGAAACTGAAACAGGCTAGCACTGCAGGTGGGTGTAACAGTGAAAGGAAAGCAGAAGAGTGACACAGAGCAAGTCTGCAGACAGGTGTGAGCGGCCTCGGTCTGAAGAGACCTGGGGTAAGTAAGGGAGCCTCTGAGTCTCCCAGAGTTGCCAGGGAGCTGAGTGTCGCACCGCCTCTATCAGCTGCACAAAGGTTTCCCAGAGAATGGTAACAAAGGCCACACTGAGCCTGCACGGATGAGTGAATGTTCACAGCTTTGCTAAAGGGCAAGATGCCCAGCCTCAGAGAAGGAGGTGGGGCTGAAAGGCACTGGGCCAACCACCAGCTCAAGCTCTAGCCTGGGCAGTTCCAGGTGCAGCCAACTGACCCGACTCCAGAGCTCCTGCCTTTGCATGGTAAGAACCAGGGACATGTCAGTGGCTAAAACCCTGCCCAGAAGAAGAAGGAGAATGAGTAGTGGCATTAGTATGCTCTAGCCATCGCCAGCATGGGCCCAATGCATGTGAGCCTAAAATAAACAGGCTCTAAGAGCCACAGGATGCAGCGCCAAACTGTCACGGGTGCTAGGTTACACACGCCCCAGAGAAAATTGGCCTCCGTGGAGCTCGATAGGAAACTAAGTATTTGAGGAGAAGGAGAGAAAATGTGAATAATTAATTGTCATGCAAAGCCTCTCCACCTCCTTG